CGGCCCCCGCGGCGCGCCTCCCCGCACCCCAGGACAGCCCTTCTGCGTCGCATCCTCCGGCGCCGCGACCCAGGCCCCCGGGCTCGGCGCCTTCTCGTCAATCGCAGCCAAACGGTCCCCTAAGGACGGAGCTCTAGGGTGGGCAGCACTCGAGCCCTACACCCAGAGAGGCTGGCGCCGGCTCCGAGACCATCTCCCCGGCTCAAGGCGGCCCCACCGGCCGGTTCTTTCCGATCCTGCAGCGACTGGTGGTCCCTCCACCCCCCGCTCGGAAATCGCAGCCCAGCAGATCCCGCGCCGCCGCCGGGCCCCCACCGCGCCCCATCACCATCCAGGCAGGAGGCCGGCGCTTACCTGAGCGCTCGGCCGCCCGGGGACGCCACCTAGCTCCCCGGTGCCGGGCTTCGAGGTTCGTCCACGGACCCAGGAGGAGGCTTCTCCGGTCCCCCCCGCAATGCGCAGCTGACAGTTCCCGCGGCAGCTGCAGGAGACTGGGGCGGGGACCGCGACTCGCGGGCGCACTAACTGCCTTGCGCTCGTGTCCCTTCGCCCGGCCAGGCTCGCGGACGCCGCGCTCGCGCCGCCAGTTCCCAGGACTTTGCCCAGAACTTCTCGGCACTCGTCGCCCGGCGATTAGCGCGAGGGCGGGGAGAGAGGAGGGGGAGCCCGCGCCGCCCTGGGGCGGGGCCACGTGCGGAGGGCGGGGCGGGCGGCAGGGCGGCAGAGTGACTCACACGCCCGCCAATCAGGAGTCGGCTCCGGGAAAGGAGGTGGGGCGATGCCCTTGGAAGAAGCGGGCGGATTCCGTGACGCAGCCGAGGGAGTTGGGACCCTGGGTTCCCGACAGGTGGGAAGGTGGGAAGGTGGGAAGGTGGGAAGGTGGGAAGGGCTGCGGGACGGGAGAGCTGTGGCGGGGTCTGGGGAGGGGCGTCCGGCGGCCCAGCGGGCGGCCTTTGCGCCGCGGATGCTCCATAAATATTTGCGAGAAGCGTTTCGCCGCCGGGGAAGGAGGGAGGAGGGAGCGCGGCGCGGGAGGGGCTGGTGAAAGGAGAAGCTTCCCCAGGACATGTGCGCGAACCGGCCAGAGGACTCGACCTCGTGAGGAAGTCACATCGAGGCAAGGGCATCGAGGACGGAGAACCAGAGGTGGCGAAGGGAGGGCTGCGGGCGCGGGATGGCGAGGGACAGGTTCGGCCTGGGAGCCGGCCCCAGGCGTGACCCTGACACCCAGGGACAGTGATGCAGATGCCTGCCGGGGTCCCCGGAGAAAACCTGAGGGACGTGTGGTGGTTCTGTTCCGTGCAGTTCATGCGCAGGGGGCGGGGGCAGGGGGAGAAAGCTTCGTAGTTAAAATTAAAACGCAGGAGCTCCTTGAAAAACAATAAAATCCTCCGGCCTCGACTGCCCACTGGCTCCTCGGCCGCCGTCGATCCCGGCACCCCAACGTGAATGCCGGCAGCCGACCCCCGGGTCAGTTTGGAGCCTGCGGGCGAATCGGGTGCGGCTGGCGGCGGGGAGGGAAGGCAGTTAACCCGCGCTGAGCGCCGGGGGGGTGCGCCCAGCCAGCCGAGGGCGCGCCGCGTGGGGACGGCACCGCCCGGTTCCTGCGCTCCTCGAGCTTGTATTTCAGTGGGGAGACCGACAAACACAAACGGGAAAGTGCTGATGAACTGTGCGCACGGAGGTCACTGCTAAGCTGAGCTTTCAAAAGCGATGCTGTGTATGGTAGGGAGCCGCGAAGCGCCCTCGGCGGGGGTGGCTCTTAAGCAGATGCCTGAACCCCGAAAGGAACTGGTCTCCGGGGAGAGCGTTCCAGGCGACTGCGAGGGAACGGCAGATGCAAGGTATTGAACCTCTCAGGAGACCCATCTAGCCTGCCTCACCGAGCTGACCCGCGAGTGCGGCTCGCTCACCAGGCT